TAGTCTGCTTTATTCATATCCCAGAGATACAATCTAGCTATTGCTTGAGTATGGATGCCACCTGCACTTGTAACCTAACTACATGTTCTTCAGGAAGGAGTTTAAAGATCTCATTAATTCATAACTGACTCTCACATATACCACACACACACAATCACATATCTAAAATGTATCCATGCCTGATTATTTGGGATCTACAGAAGGTGGGGCATATCAGACTATTTATCTGCATAATCTGGGACTTGTAGCCGATTGAAACTGGTGGAAAAATTGCAATGAATCATGGTTTTTCTTTAAGGTAGAAATTGAACTGAGTAGAATCTGCTTCTTTGTTTCTCTAGAATTCTTCACTTTGGGTATAACATGAAACTGGTGCTGTGAGTATAGTCACAAAATCATAAGTTGTCTAGTCCAGTTCCTTCTGAGTACAGAACTGTTCTCCCCAAAAAAGAAGTGTCTGTACTGGACAGTTGTTTGGAAACAGTTTGATTTTTCTCCCCCACAAAGGTGCTATACAGGTACAATGTTTCATTTACTCTCCTAGATATGGAGGTTAGGAAGGGCTGAAAACAAATCTTAAAAGTATGAAAGTTTGGGGTCTGTAACAAAGGCCTTGTGTATGTCAGGTACTCTGCTTCTCCCACTCAGTCTATTGTAATCGGTGCAGTATGCTTTTTGGTGGTTTATTGATGTTTTCCTTAGGCCACCATCAGAGTTTATTTGTATTGTTATAGTACAAAAGGTTCCAAACAGGGATTAGGTTCCCATTGTGTTAGACATTGTATGTGCATGTATCAAAAGTTATGATTCCCGCTTAACGTGCTTACAGTCTATGGCTTTGATCCTGCAAATGGCAGTAATTATAATAGCTAAGTTAATCATGTGTGTGTAAGTGTTTGCAGGATTGGTATATAAGTAATTTTCAGCATGTTTCAGATCTTTATACTGACAGTGAGTAATTGTTGATGTGGAAGTAACTGGCTTTCCACATCAACAGGTTAGGGGGATGGGTTAGGCTTTTGATGACCAGAAAGGCTGTGGGAGGTGTTCTGAGTTTTGCTATCCAGGATGCAGTTGAGGCTTTTGCTGGTAGACAGACAGGGGTTGCATCTTTTCCCCTACTCTCTTCACTTTAAATTCTGGGGGTAAGATGAGATTTGACTTGATAGCAAGTAGGTCCAGCTACACCCTGCCAGTACCTCTAAAAATGATAGATTTATTAGCCTGATATTTCACTAGTGAGCATTTTAGCAGAAATAGCTACTGTTGACATTTTAATTTGTCAGACTTCAGCGCCAACATTCCAATGAAATAATTGGGAACTTTTATCTTCAAGCTCTGTGTGTGGTGGTTTTCCCCCCCCCCCCACCTCCTTCCAGATTTAGGCACACATTTCTACAGCATCAATTTACATTCACTTCACATTGTGAAGTGATTTTAGCAACTATACAGATTATAGAATTAACTATTTCCAAAAAAAAAAAAAATCCAAAGCTTTAATTTGGAGTACAATTATGTACCAATTAAAAAAAATTCCACAAATACGCAGCAATTTAAATGATTGCATAATCACATGGCACCAGGGTTCCTCTCTAGAGAGCAGAAATCAGAGAGCTCTGAATTGCTAGATCTATAATTTGCCTGTTTACTGTGCCCATGTCACCTCCTGCATCTCTCACTGTTCTTTGACTTCGAAGGGGTAAAGAATAATAGCCTGCTGTCTCTTAGGCTCTGTCTATGCTAGGGAAATTTAGGAGAATTTTCCCCCATTAACTAAACTGATGTTAGCAATGCTAGGAGCCATAGTATCATTGGGATTTCAGTTGCAGACATAATTTTCAGTACTGTCCTCTTAACTCTGCTGGAGGTTACTCTGACCAATATAGTGTCAGCAACCATAGAATCATAGACTACCAGGGTTGGAAGGGACCTCCAGGAGGTCATCTAGTCCAACCCCTGCTCAAAGCAGGACCAATTCCCAACTAAATCATCCCAGCCAGGGCTTTGTCAAACCTGACCTTAAAAACCTCTAAGGAAGGAGATTTCACCACCTCCCTAGGTAACGCATTCCAGTGCTTCACCACCCTCCTAGTGAAAAAGTTTTTCCTAATATCCAACCTAAACCTCCCCCACTGTAACTTGAGACCATTACTCCTTGTTCTGTCATCTGGTACCACTGAGAACAATCTAGATCCATCCTCTTTGGAACCCCCTTTCAGGTAGTTGAAAGCAGCTATTAAATCACCCTTCATTCTTCTCGTCTGTGGACTAAACCACAACTCCTCTACACTAGGGTTCCCATTAGCAATGCTGTGAAACTTTTCTAAAATGTTCTTAGTATAGATGGGCTCTTATTCCCATGCCTTAGCTTCTCCCACCCCCTTTATGCAACCCCTATAGTGTGATTCTTTCTCTTGGCAGCCACCAATTTGAGCAGTTAGTTAATAATACTTAGTACTTGCATACAACTTTACCACTTCAAAGCACTATAAACAGTCTTCACCAATATGCCCTTGTGAGGTAATATCCCCATTTAACAGATGGGAAAACAGATAAGATCCATTGGTTGGTATCTGAAAGCTTGAAAACTCAGTTTTCAAATGGTATGTCTGTATTAACCTAAACCTGTCTGGGATAGCTGCTAAAATTATGTGAAAATGACTATTGTGAAGGGGTTTCATTGGCAGACCAAGATAAATGCCCCTTTTCTCTTCTCCCCCCCCCCCAATATAATTGGCTTTGTGCCTGTAACGGGCAGGGAGGGTGCAAGGATGTTTCACGCCCTAGGTGAAACTTCCACCTTGTGCCCCCCCCCCCCCCCGAGCCCTGTGGCAGCTCTCTGCACTAAGGCGCGCGCCCCCTCCCCCACGGCAGCGCTCCCCCTCCACCCTGAGGGCCCCCCCACGACAGCTTCTCCCGGCCCGGGTCGCCATGCGGCAGCTCCCCGCCCCAGCTCACCTCTGCTCCGTCTCCTCCCCGAGCACGCCGTCGCTGCTCCACTTCTCCCGCCTCCCAGGCTTGTGGTGCCAAACAGCTGTTTGGCACCGCAAGCCTGGGAGGCGGGAGAAGCAGAGCGGGGTGGCGTGCTCAGGGGAGGAGGCGGAGTAGAGGTGAGCTGGGGCGGGGAGCAGTTCCCCTGCGTGCCGCCCCCCCATTACTTGCTGCAGGCGGCCCTCCCCGCGCCCCACTGCCCCAGCTCCCTCCACCTAAATGCTGACAACAACCGGGATGGCCGAAGATCCGGCAGCCACTGCCGAAGGACCCGAAATGCTGCCCCCCAAATGCTAGTGCCCTAGGCAACCGCCTAGGTCGCCTAATGAGTTGCACTGGTCCTGGTAACAGGGGTGCAGCTGAACCTCTCTGGCTTCTGCCCCTGCTGGACCCATAAACCAGCCAGAGACCTCTGTGTTGGTGCAATCACCCATGCTCTTTATTTACAGTTTACTTTCCCGTCACCTTTTAGTTACAAACAGTTTCAGTCTCACAGCCCCAGGAACTGCTGACTCCTGCAGCCAGCAGAGAAGAGCTCCCACTCCCTCTAACTCTCTGGCTCCTCCCTTTCCTTCTCCTACTTTGGCTTCCTTCCTGCAGGCCTTTATGTAGCCTCTGGCTAAAGAGGCCGGCAGCTGATCCCCATCTGCCACTCAGGCCTGGGCTTACTCAGCCAGCTCGAATTCTTCTTTTTTGATTGGAGCTGGTGTGACAGAGGCCTGGCTCAGGTTCCTTAGCCAGCACCCTGTTACAGTGCCCCTTCATTTATTTGTGATGTACATAGAGCAGAGGTGGGCAAACTATGGCCGTGGGATCCTCCTGCCCAGCCTGTGAGCTCCTGCCCCGGGAGGCTAGCCCCGGCCCCTCTCCCACAGCCTCAACTCGCTCTGCCGCCAGCGCAATGCTCTGGGCAATGGGGCTGTGAGCTCCTGGGGCAGTGCAGCTGCAGAGCCCGGCCTGACCCGGTGATCTGTGCTGTGCAGTGGCATGGCTGGCTCCAGCCAGGTGGCGTGGCTGCCTGTCCTGGCGCTCTGGGCAGCGTGGCTGTAGCGCTGCCAGTCACCGGCGCTCCAGGCAGCGCAGTAAGGGGGCAGGGAGCAGGAGGGGTTGGATAGAAGGCAGGGGAGTTCAAGGTGGTGGTGGTGGGGGGGTGTATATAGGGATTGGGGTGGTCAGAGGGCAGGGAACAGGGGGGTTGAATGGGAGTAGGGGTCCTGGGGGGGCAGTCAGGAATGAGAGGGGGGGGTTGGATGGGGTGGTGGGGACAGTCATGGGCAGAGGTTCTGGGGACAGGGAACAGGGGGGGTTGGATGGGGCAGGAGTCCCAGGGGGGCCGTCAGGGGGCAAGAAGCAGGAGGGGTGGGATGGGGGCGGGGCCGGGCCACGCCTGGCTGTTTGGGGAGGCACAGCCTCCGCTAACCGGCCTTCCATGCAATTTTGGAAACGCGATGCGGCCCTCAAGCCAAAAAATTTGCCCGCCCCGGCATAGAGGGTCTGAAGTATTGTTTCCAAAAGTTTATCTGCTTTTTTTGTTTTGTTTTTTAAAAAAAAAAGAAGAAGAAAAAAAGATTTAGATCTTCTCTACCCTGGCAGACTTTGACTAATGAACCTAGTGCATTTGGGATCACGAGTCAAGAAACTGAAAGCTGAGCAATAGCAAAACATTTTTTTTGTTTTGTTTTGTTTTTTTTAAAGTATTTAAATGCATCTGTTATTGAGCGCCACTTGGATCAATTTCTAGCTAGGTCTTTAAGGTGGTCTGCCTGGATATTCGGTTTATGTCCATCACCAGCAATCTTATCTTAAGCTTTTGGCAACAACATTCCAACGTGCTATGTAGGAACATTCCTTGGTACGCTTGCTTCATAATTCATTGGTCTTCCATCCTAATAACATGTCCATAGCCAGATAGCTGCCAAAACCAAACCCGTGCTGATGGAAGTGGTTACTAGGTTTGGCTATGAACCCAGCAAGACCCTAGCCCCTCTTCAGTTAATGTATGAGAACTCATGGTACACATGCTCTAGATCCCAAGAGTTCCTCCAGCAAAATCAGAGAAAAATAGATTTGACATTCAGGATATTTCTGAATTAAAAAGCAAGCAAAAACCTTTTAAACTCTCCACTCCTGCAGATTTTCAGACCCTTATTTATTATAAAGAAGCAAAACAAGATACAAGTCCAATTCAAAAAGATCCTTTGCAAGTCACCTTTATGTGTTATGGGTAAGGCTGCAAGTCCATCACAGAAGTCATGGATTCATGAAACATCAGCAGGGGGCCCGGGCCGTGTGCCACGGCACCCCCCAGAGCACCTGCATCCCCCTCAGCCCAAGTTTTAGTTAGGGGTATATAGTAAAAGTCATGGACCGGTCACGGGGTATGAATTTTTGTTTACTGCCTGTGACCTGTCCATGACTTGACTAAAATGTAGCCTTAGTTATGGGGATTGGCTTGTATGTTACCAGGAGATTTGATAGTTCGGTAATATTCAACTCAGGTCTAAGCCACCCAAAAGAGATGAAAAAGAGCGGAAGAGACGGAGTCCATCGCCCAGACCTACCAAAGTGCATGTTGGGAGACTCACCAGAAATGTGACCAAGGTAATGGCCTGCCCTTCTTTATCCTTGAACTTTCACATCTTTGGGAGAGTGATTTGAGTTTTTTAAATAGTATCTTCAGAAACCGTTTATTACTAGGTTGCAATCAGGTGTCACTGTGTTGGAAGTTCTTACATTATCCATATGCAAGGTTGAGGTGCATTAGCAGACCTGTCTGTGGGGAAACCTGCATGGCACTTGATCATATCCTACTTGGCTCAAGCCAAGAGCAATTAATCCATGGCAGAGTATGGTTCTCAAAAGACCTGTATGCCATGTCCCAGATCAAGTGCCCTGTGTTATCAAGCAGGGGACTTAGATTTAAACCCTGTACTTGGTTTCCTGGTTCTCTCGCAGGGTGTTATGTAACTTACATTTGTCTTGGTTGGAAGATGAAGAGGAGCTGACCCCTTTGTTGAAAAATTTACAACTGTAGGCCAGCTGAGAATGTCGGCGGTTGATCTGCAGGAGTGGTGCTCAGTTCAGTCCTCCTTGCCAGATAATTGTTCTGGTGAGGTGCGAGGCCTTCGTAGAGGGAACATGTAACTATATGATGCTATATAAATGATCCTAAATGTTAAAGAGAGAAAATACATCTTTCGCCTTGAGCATTTGACCTCAGACAGCCCCTCTCCTTGCCATTTCCCACATAAACTTCATGATTTCATTCATTCTTTCACTCCTGAAAAGTTTACCACAGCCTAGATCCTCTGGCCTTTTTTGAGGAGGGTAGTCAGTATACATTTGTCTAGGGTTTGGGAATTCCAAGGAAGAAACTGAATAGGCAGCAATAGAGAGCTGGTGGGAATTCAAACTGTATCCATATCCAGTTAATAAGATTGGTCTTCCTTGATGTTGGTATTGGTTTTTGATCTTGTATTGGGTATGCCTCCAATTTAGCATTCTCTATCAATACCACATGGTAGTGGGAATTGGCACTGTCCTTAATAATCACTATTTTTCTCTAGGATCACATCATGGAAATATTTTCCACTTATGGGAAGATTAAAATGATTGACATGCCAGTTGACAGGTTAAATCCACATCTCTCCAAGGGTTATGCCTATGTGGAGTTTGAGAATCCAGATGATGCTGAAAAGGCACTGAAGCATATGGATGGAGGTATGTACCAGATGTTGTACAAAGAAACCAGCAGGACTAATAGAAACCCATGGAGGATATGAGGGTTGATACAAATGAGTTAAAAGGATCATTGGCCCTGAGTTGTCCTACCAACTTTTGTGGTTTTACAATACCACTTTCTTAATTCCCCCCCTCCCCCCAATCTTTCTCTGCTCTCTTGCTGGGTGACAGACTCTTACAAGCAGCGAAACCAACCATACAGGGGAAACAGCTAAACTGACCTTACATAAAGTACTGTCGCACAAAGTCGGATGATCCAAAAAACCCCAACTCTGTCATCTGAACTGTTGCTGGTCAGAATAGTAGGTTCTAAACCTTTCGTGGGTTTTAGGCAGAAGTGATTTTTAAGTTGACTGCCTAAATGATTTGCTCAGGGCGAGACGGTGAGTCAGTGGCAAAGTTGGGGAGAGACCCTAGGCCTCGTGATTTCTTGCTGTAACCACTAGATCACGAATGCTCCAAATGTACCAAAGCAGCAACCTTGTGAGGATGGAAGTCTGTAGTAGGGGTGCGATAGTGCTGTGTGTAGCACACTGATGCTGGAAATTTTTAGCTTATTCTTTGTCTTTTTAACTGTAAACAGGACAGATTGATGGTCAGGAGATCACTGCTACAGCTGTACTGGCACCTCGACCTAGGCCACCTCCCAGGCGCTTTAGCCCACCAAGGAGGATGCTGCCGCCACCACCAATGTGGCGTAGGTCGCCACCTCGCATGAGGAGAAGGTGAGCCATATTTTATGAAGTCCCGTAGAAGTGTGTAAGCTAAACAGGGGTGTGGTAATGTTTAATTCTTGGCACCAAGCATCTTCTCTCTGGCACAGATTTCATCATTGGTAACTTTGCCTCCCTGGGCTTGATTTCAGCAAACCGTATCAGTGACCTATTAAACCTGGAGACTAATCATCTTCACTCCTGGTTTAGTAAACACAAACTCTTAAAGATCTGTTAGAAGCTGCTGTTACCACTATGGGACATGATTGGTGATCTTTACTGGGCCCTGCTCAGAACAGCTTCTGAAGTTTTTGAGACACCTATTTCCTTACATACTAGGGCCTAAAACTTAGATTGACCTAGCTATATCACTCAGGGCTGTGAAAAATGTCATGCCCTGTGTGATGTAGCTATGTCGACCTAACTCCCAGTGTAGACACAGCTAGGCTGACAGAAGAACTCTTCTGTCGACCTAGCTACCACTTCTCGGAGAAGTGGACTACCTACATTGCTGGAAAAACCACTTGTGTCTACCTTGAAGTGCGTGGTAGCTATGCAGCTGTATTGTAGACATAACCTAATAGCTGAAACAATGAGGAGACCTTGTGGCACCTTAGAGACTAACAAATTTATTTGGGCATAAGCTTTTGTGGGCTAGAACCCACTTCGTGCATGTGCTTCTGTATTTTTCACTTCATGCATCAGATGAAGTGGGTTCTAGCCCACGAAAGCTTATGCCCAAATAAATTTGTTAGTCTCTAAGGTGCCACAAGGACTCCTTGTTGTTTTTGCTGATACAGATGAACATTGCTACCACTCTGAAACTTAATAGCTGAGTTGACATGATGTAAGATCTACAGTATATCCATCAGCCACCAAACTCTGCTTATTAATATCCTTCAGATGTTAGCTCTTGTATTTTTCCCTCCTTCATTTAATCTCTGTCCTTCCTTAATCTTTGTACAGTAGAACCTCAGAGTTATGAACACCAGAATTACAAACTGACCAGTCAACCACACACCTCATTTGGAACTGGAAGTATACAATCAGGCAGCAGCAGAGACGAAAAAAAAAAGCGCCAGTACAGTACTGTGTTTAAAAGTAAACTTCTAAAAAAATAAAGGGAAAGCAGCATTTTTCTTCTTCATAGTAAAGTTTCAAAGCTGTATTAAGTTCATTTTGTAAACTTTTGGAAGAATCAAAAGTTTTGTTCAGAGTTACGAACATTTCAGAGTTACCAACAACCTCCATTCCCGAGGTGTTTATAACTCCTGAGGTTCTATTGTACCAGTTTAGTTCATCTGATTTTTATAACCCTCTTGGGCCCTATTAAAACTACATTGACAATATGGTTTCAACCCATGTTCTGTTTAAACCTGGTGTGGCTACTACACTTTTGACTACAGTGTTGACCAAACTTAGTGTGACTATCCGTTTCTTTAGAGGTGGGATTCCTGGAGTGATGTTCTGCAAACCCTTTCCCTGCATCTAAAAGTCAGCTTTCTGTGTTGTCTTGGCTGTGGCAGCAAAGACCTACTTGGCAGAATAAGGAGAATCTGATGTATGATTAATTTGAGTTGGACTTCATTCTTCTCTCTATTTCTTTCCAACATGCTGGAAGCCCCTTAGTGCACTTAGGATCTAAAGTTAGACACTAACTTTCTTCCCTAAATGGTCCCTCAATGTATATATCCTTCTATCCGCTGTATATAACAAGGAGGACTGGAACTCTATAGGAAGTGGTCTACAAAACATGATGTTTAAGGGGTGGATAAGAGATGCCCGCTGAGATGTGCAGTCATTCTGCGCCCCAAGCACAGCTACATTTTGGAATGTCTGATTATTCACTTACCAACACTAGTGGTAGCTATAGAGTTGGCTCTAGCACCCTCTGGAGGCCCATGCTCCTGCACCAGTATAAGGGGTGCCACCGATCCTGTGCCCTTTGAGTTCCTACTTACCGCCAGTGACAGTTGCTGGAACAGTATTCTCCCTTGCTTCGGTATGCCCCCTTCCCTGTCCTTCTTCAAGGACCCTTCTCATGAGCAACTTCTTGTTTAGGAGATGCAAGCCCTACAGGCAGGGGCTGTGGAGGTAGTTCCTCCAGAACTGAGGGAAAGGATTCTACTTCCGCTATCTCTAGATTCCCAAGGCGAAAAGGGGCCTGAGGCCTATCCTAGACCTGCGTTGCCTCAACAAGCATCTCAAGAAACTGAGGTTCTGCATGGTTTCTCTGGCCTCCATCATTCCCTCGCTAGATCCAGGGGACTGGTACACCGCCCTTGATTTGAAGGACACATACTTCCATATCTCCATCTTTCGGGGACACAGGTGCTTCCTCAGGTTCATGGTGGGCCATGGACATTACCAGTTTACAGCACTTGCCTTTGGCCTCTTGGCAGCCCAGCAAGTCTTCACAAAGCGTATGGCAGTAATCACGGCCCACCTCAGGTGCCAAGGTATACAAATCACCCATACCTTGACGACTAGCTGATAAAAGGCTTCTTGAGGGATTAAGTCCAACACAGCATCTCGGTACAAGCGACTTGCAGAGTGCTGGGCCTCCTAATAAACGAGGAGAAATCAACATTGGGCCCAGTGCAAAGATCAGAATTTATAGGAGCTGTACTCGACATCTCAGGCCAGGGAATTCCTGCCGAGGCCAGGTTCAAAGCCATGTCGGACTTAATCACCTGAGTGTCAGTGCGCCTGCTGACGACTGCCCGGTGTTCCTATGTTTACTAGGCCACATGGCGGCATGTAACTACGTGGTGGGGCATGCTCGATTGTACCTCAGAGAGCTACAGATGTGGCTCGTGTTGGTCTACTTACTGAGCAGGCACCATCTTGACTCTATTCTCACCATTCCTGTGTCAGTCCTGGTTTCCCTGACATGGTGGTTAGATTGGTTCTATCTGGAGTACCCTTAGAGTCCCCATGGCCTAAGTTCCTTCTAAGATGCACAGCCATGCAGCAGGGGCTCATGGCGCGTGCCTCTCCCCCAGCACGGAACTGCTGTGGCAGGGAGAGGTGCCTCTCCCCCTGCCCCCTCCAGCCCAGGTGGTGCTGCAGAACACTGTGGGGGAGGGGGAGAGGTCCTCTCTCCCTGCTGTAGCCCCTGGGCAGCCTGCACCCCAAACTCCTCATCCCGGCTCCACCCCAGAGCTTGCACCCCCAGCCGGAGCCTGCACCCCCCTGCACACCAACCCTCTGCCCCAGCCCTGAGCCCTTCATCCCTGGCCCCAGCCTGGAGCCCTCCCCCACCGCACCCCAATCCTGTGCCCCAGCCCTGAGCCCCCGTCCCACACTCCAAATTCCTCGGCCCCACCCCGACCACATGAATTTTGTTATGTGCACCAATATGGAGGTGATGTGTTACACATCACCTCCATATTGGTGCACATAACATTCATTCCGCACATGCGTGGGAAAAATTAGAGGGAACACTGCCCATGGCCCTCAATCATGCTGGTATCAGATGTGTCGGACCTGGGGTGAGGGGCCCACCTCAGCAGCCTCAGGACCCAAGGTCTCTGGTCAAGGGACGAGCTGTCATTACACATAAATGTGAAGAAACTCAGGGCAATATGCCTGGCCAGGCCTCAGGCAGAGAGGTGCAAGTACTGATGGAAAAAGTGTCAATGTTTTATATCGACAAACAGGGAGGGGGACACTCCAAGGTCCTCTGTCAGAAAGCCCTCAGGCTCTGGGATTGCTTTGTGAAGCACTCCATTCACCTGGCGGTGTCATGTTTCCCCAGAGAGTGGAATGTGTTGGCAGATCACCTCAGCGGGTCATTCTCCTCTTACCACGAGTGATCTCTCCACTCGCAGGTCACCAGCATCATCTTCCAGAGGTGGGGGACTCCCCTTGTGGACCTGTTCGCCTCTGCACAGAACAAGAAATGTTACCACTTTTGCTCTAGGCTTGGTCAAAGCAAAGGATCTCTGATTCCTTTCTATGGTCATGGTCGGACGGCCTAGGTTCTGGGCCATTCAAGTCCTTGGCATCCTGCTTCTTGCTGCTCCTCTCGTGGAAGGTCACTTTTCCTGGTGGCAATCACTTTGGCCAGGAGAGTTTCAGAGCTTCAAGCCTTAACCTCGGGGCCTCCTTACACTGTGTTCTTTGAAGATAAGGTCCAATGTGTCTCCACCTAGCCTTTCTACCCAAGATGGTATTGCAGTTCCACGTCAACCAAGCCATTTTTCTGCTGGCCTTCTTCCCAAAACCGCATAAGTCAGAGGAGGAAAGATGCCTACGCTCTCTGGGTGTGAGAAGGGCCTTAGTCTTCTATGTTGATCAGATGAGCCCTTTCTGCAGATCGACACAGCTGTTTGTCGCAGCTGTGGATAGAATGAAAGGTCTCCTGGTGTCCTCCCAGTGGATCTCGTCCCAGATTGCGGTCTGTATCCGGGTATGCAATGAGCAAGTGAAAGTCCTGCCTCTGGCCATTGTGAAAGCCCATTCTACCAAGAGCACAAGCCTTCCTGGCGCAAATACTGATCCAGGACATCTGCAGGGCTGCAACATGGTAGTTGATCCACACATTCACGTCCCATTACGCAAACACCCAATAGGCCAGAGACGACGCCAGTTTTAGGAGAGCTGTGTTGCTGTTGGCACGCCTGTGAACTCCCAGCCCACCTCCAAGGACACTGCGTGATTCACCTGACATGGAATGGACATGAGCAAGCACTCGAAGAAAAAATGGTTGCCTACCTTTTGTAACTGTTGTTCTTCGAGATGTTGTTCATGTCCATTCCATGACTCGCCCTCTTATCCTGCCGTCAGAGTTGACAGCAAGAAGGAACTGGAAGGGGTGTAGGGCCAATGGTGCCCCTTATACTACTGGCTCATGAGCATAGGCTCTAGGGTGTGCTAGAACTGGCCCTATAGGTACCACTGGGGGGGAAATCTCCATGCATGTGGTGTGCACACATCTGATATGGAATGGACATGAGCAACACATCTCAACAATAGTTTATGAAAGGCAGGTAACCATTTTTTTTCTTGACTTTAAGTTCATGATATCTTGTTTTGTGCTTCCCATTAGATGCATATATAGGTCCTACAGAGTCAGTTAAGATTATTGGCTTCTGTTTGTAGTCCAGGCTCTGATCCCCTTTCTGTTTAAGGGAGAAAACTCTCTGAAGTTGCTAACAGTGTGTTTTTTCTGTGAAATAAAGAGTATAGTGCTCTTTACTTGAGTGGTGCAAGGTCTTTCAGGTGAGAATTTAAAAGCCCAAGGTCCAGTTTGTTCTCTGGTGGCTTGCCATGGTATCCTTGGTCAAAATATTCTCTCTTGCTGAGTTGTGTGCTGTTGAGCTGCCTCCTTCCACCCCAGAGATGGCTACGTTTCACTAGAGCTCTTTGTATAAAATGTTTTGGGATCCTTCTGGATAAAAGGTGCTAGATGTGTGTAAAATAATTTAAACCTGTTGTCCTTGTCTCCTAATGAAGCTTTTCTCCTCCTTTCTCGGGCAGGTCCAGATCTCCAAGACGCAGGTCCCCTGTTCGCCGACGGTCAAGATCCAGATCTCCAGGCCGAAGACGTCATCGCAGCCGCTCCAGCTCAAATTCTTCACGATAAAGCGAAAAAGACTGGACAGCTTTTTATTTTTTAACTTAAAACCCACCAGACTAAATATTGTACCTTTTTTATAATGGGCCTGGGTAAGGGGAAGTGAGAGAAATCGAAACCTGGCAGTGAAGGGAAACTAAGAGGAGGGGTTTCCTGGCCAGTAGGCAATCTGTGCCTTGCAGCTTCTAGATTCAAGGCATTGAACCTAAATGCTTTAAACATGGCTTTGGGTTGAAGGCTGCAAATGTGGTATATTGTTTTCTGGACAAGCTACCAGTAGGAAAGATGATATAGCCTCTGCTCCTCTAATCAGCAGGCTGCTGCTTCATGAATTCCAAAGGCTTAGCATGCCATGCAGAAAAAACTAAGTACTGACCTATTTGGGGAATCATAAGGCTGGCTACTACTAAGAGAAGGTGGTGGTGGTGGTGGGGTGGCAGCTATGTCCATGTCCATCTCAAGGCACCAGTGCAGACCTTCAGACCTGGTGGTACCCAAACACAGAAATCTGCCTCAAACTTAAATACTCAGTTTGTCATTCTGCTCCCATGCCCCAAATAGTGAGATCATAAATTTCTGTTTGCCTAAAGAGGCAGAGTACTGCAGACTTGCATGACATTAAAGATGATGGTTTTTGGCCAGTCCCCCTGTATGTCATCTACTGCATATTAGAAACAGGCCAGGAATCGAAGGACTGTTTTGTAACTGCACTCTTTAGGGATCCCCTTGCCCTTCCTGAAGGGTTTTGGTACAGATTTCACACAACCCTCTACCAAATGGTGTAAATGTTTCCACCTTTAGAAAACACAATACTAACTGGCAACAAAGTATCAAAACCCCACCTTACCGCAATGAAAAGGGAGAGGTTTGAGATTGATGCTGCTTGGATTAATTTGGGTAATCTTGCAAAAGGCAAGTAATTTTACCATCTGTTGTACAGTCAAGCTACAAAGTTTGTATTTTTTTTTTTTTTTTTTGTGTCTAACTTTGTAGCATCTTAGGCAGGTTGTGTTTGTATTTGTGTAGAATGACCATATTGAATAAACCAATAGGGTTAAGATTAAAGAATATTAATTAGTTCCTTCCCTGTAGACTATTGGCCTCACCTGTACATTGTGTATAGAGGAAGCAACTAGAACAGCTCCTTTTTTTTCTTTTAAATGTTAAGATAAAATCTTTTCCACTTAAGCCTGGAAATGGTGAGCTTCATGTTACTGGCAATGGCAGCTGGCTGATCAAGAGGAACAGTAATGGAATTAATTTGAGCTAGAGAACAGTGATTGTGGCATGAGGCCAGTGCATGCACACAGTAAAAATAAAGCAAGCGCAGCTTGAACTGCATTTTTCTTCCCTTCTACTCCCCTGCTGCTTCAGCTACAGTTTGGAAGGCTTGATCAGAGATTCCTCCCAGCATAGTTGTACCAGAGGGCATGTCACATGGGTACTAGTTTCAAAGGAGGCTGATGCCACTCCTGAATTTCTGCTACTATGGGTCAGAGTCTGTAGTGAGACCCATACTGTTCTCAGTTGATGAAGGAATCACTTGGAATTCTAATCTCTTCCCTTTGCATCCTGCCAAGACAGCAGTGAGAGACAGCCACTGGGGCAGTATTGGAGGGCTTTTTGTGACTAAAGATCAACAGAGCTGACAAGCCAGTGCCATTCAGTAAAAACCTAAATTTGCAAAAAAATAAGCAAAAAAAAAAGTATAATGGACAGTCATTCTGTATGTTGTCACATTCCACTAACTGCCCTAGGCAAATGTGGGAGGGAGTCAAATACACCTGATGCTGGGTGACAGCCTGCTCCAAGGTGCTGCATTAAGAGGCACAGTGGTGTGGAACAGGAACCCAGGAAGAAGAGCAGTGTAAAGAGGCAGGAACAGGCAACAGAACATCTCCTTTGCAGCTAGGAGATGGAAATCCAAGAACTCCCTGCAGCCCTGACCAAGTGACGACAGGCGTAAGCGTGCAGCTGCCAATCCAGATCACAAGGTAGATGTGATGTAGCCCAGCTAATACAACCTGTCCGCATAAGGCATGTACACATACAGCCTCTGGCCAGAACATGTTTCCTCTATGGGTACTGCCCCCTGTAGCAGAGTTGCTTGCTAGGGATAAAGAAATCCCAGGGGCCCATTCTGGGCTAGTCTGCATGTTGCTTATTACACCTTTGCCTTTTCCAGTCCTGGGCCCAAGATCAGCCCCTCCCACCCCCAGCCCATGTGCTGTGACATTTCTTGAACGAGCCTCCTAGTAGCGCCGCTGTAAGCTCTCGGGACTTGGCTTTGGTTGGGAGACACCACAGGGTAGGAGCTGGGTGGGGGAGACCCTCAGGTGGGGTGAATAGTGAGTATGTGGAGGCAGTGCAGGTTTACAATGTTGCCATGGAGCTGGGCCCATGGTCAGAAGGGGTCCCAGCCTGCTCCGCTTGCACGGTGCCCCGAGATCCCGCTGGCTCTTCCCACCACTTGCTCCTCTCCGTCTGCCTGCCGAAGGCTCCTCTTCACCCCCTGGCTTCTCTCTGCCCCCGGCCAGAGCCCAGTGCACCGTCGGCTCCAGGCAGTCTCTGCTTCCCATCACCTGTGGGGCCCCACCTGTCTCCCTGGAGCTGAGCTGCCAGGAACTGGTCCAGAATCCTGGCCAGTCTCAGACAGTTGGGGGAGACACAGTGTGGAGGGCTTGACTGGGCCCCTCCAGGCAAGTGGGTTCTGAGGGAGCTTGGCTGGAGCAGGCCCTGGCCTGGCTGATTGCACCACTCCTGAGGGGCAGGAGTGATTCCCTGCCCTGGGACCAGCCCTGGCTGCACTGGCAGCTCAGCTTGGTAGACAGTTGCCTCTCAGCAGGGCCGGTGAGTGCTGCTGGGAGGCAGGGTGTGGGGGAGTTGGTGGCTGGAGGGCTGGGGTGGGGGAGATCTGTGTGTTGGAGCACTAGAGAGTGGGGGTTCTGTGTGGGGTGCTGGGCAGTTGTGGTGGGGCTTGGGCAGGGGTGGTGGTGGGCAGGGTACTGTGCATTTGTGGCAGGGTCTTGGGGGCGCGCTAGGCATAGTGTGTGGGGGGGCTCTGGCCATAGGGAATTGGAGGGCTGTTCAAGTGTTAGGTGGGGGGGGAGGGGGGCTCTGTGGTGTGGCATAGGCCCATCCCTGAGGGAAAGGGGCATGTTGGCAGCACAGGGTTAGGCGAGCCACTGTGCGTCTGGTAACTGCTGGTTTGTAAATAGTGCCCTTGCAGCAGGCTGGGCGGAGTGGGGTCACCCCTGCCATGTCCCTGGACAGCAGCTCACTCCAGGGACCGACCTCCCTGTGCCATGCTGCATTGTCCCCATGGGGGCCCACAACTATGTTTGGCACTGGGCCCACAAAAGGTTAATCCAGCCCTGCCTGGAGTGGGAACACCTACAGCCCCGGAGACTGGGAAGAGCAAACGTTCCCCTGTCACGTGTTACTGGCTCTTTAAGACGGGGCATTTCAACCATTGCCTTCAGCGCTGGCTCAACAGATTCGACAGGCCTGGACCGGGAGTGGGGTGTGTGGCGAATCTTAGGCTGGGTGACAGAGCGCGAAGGTGTCGGCGGGAAGAGCGCGCGGGCCGGAGGGGTGAGTCTGTAAAGCGGTTCCGGGGGGGAGACACAGCGCGCCCCGCCCCCACTCGAGCCTCGCGCTGGGTCGGGGGTCCTGCTGGCCCCGTTCCTGCCCCTGCCCTCCGCGAGACCGAGGGGGGCTGCGGGCCGCTGCGGACCCCGGCCGGCGCCACTGCAGAGCGAGGCAGGCGGGCTGCGAGCGCCTGGGACCGGGACCGGGACCGCCCCTCACGGTGTGCGCGCAGCGGGCTGTGTGTGTGCGCCTGTGTGCACGCAGCACCTAAAGCTGGGGGCCTAGTGTGTGTGCAGCGCTTAACACCGGTCCCTCCTCCCCCCCGTGTGTGTATGTGCGCGCAGCACCTAGCGCGGCAGGCCCCATGTCCATGTGTGTGCCTGAGTGTGAGCTGTGTGCCTGGTGCCGTGTGTCCCTGTGTGCAGCACCTAGAGTGCTATGGGTCCTGTGTGTGTGTGTGGCACTGTGTGCGTGCAGCGCTTAGTACTGTGGGCCCCATGTGTGTGTGCAGTGGTGGGCCTGTATATATGCGTGTGCAGTGACACAGGCCCTGTGTGTGTGTGTGTGTGTGCACGTGCACAGCATCTGCACCCTGAGGATGTGTGTCAGGGGCAGGAAAAGAGGAGTTCCTTGTGCTTTGAGGTCATGTGTGTGTAAAGTCTTAGCACATTGGGGCCCAGTGTGTGTGTGCACAGCACCTAGCATCCTGAGACCATATGCGTGCATGCGCTGTGCCTAATGTCCTGAAGCCCTGTGTGTGTGTACAACACCTAGCTCCACAGGACCCTGATCTCAGTCAGCTCCTGTGCAAACAACACTTAGCACCCTGAGGCTCCATATGTGTCTACAGCACCTAGTGCCATGGGGCTCTGATCCCAGTCAAACCATGAACCCTGGTACGTGACAGGGGATCTTAAGTAGAGCCCTTTGCGGATACATGTGCATCCGATCCGCATAAATGATTTGTGGCTATTGAATTTGCAGGGCTCTTCTCTGAAGTGCTACTGCAATACAAATAAATTCCTGGCTCTTTGAGCTCTGGTCAAGTGAAAAATTCATTAACTAATAATTCTCCAGTGCTGGGCAGAGGCCTGCAGGCCAGCCAATTTATGTGGGAGTTTTGTGATGTGGGGAAACACCCACTAATGACTGGGCTGAGACTACCAGACTCATCTTGTCTGCAGGCTAAACAGAGTGCCTTTTCAGAAGGATCGCAGTAGCCAGGTGTCTGGGCACCATCATTCTCTGTTTCATTTTCCCCTTTGTTTGATCAGTTCCAGAAGTGACTTTACCGATGGATCCCGAGCCCTTTGAAGTTGGACATGCGGTACGAGAAGCTATCAACATCCTTTCCTCTTCCAGGAATGGAGTCCAGATCTCAGAGGCGCTTGGCACAATTAAGTGCTACCTAGGTGGAACTGAAAACCAAGCCCCCCTGAAGGAGAGGGAAGAATTTACCCGTGTGCATTTTTCTGCCTTTCTGCGAGGTCTTGTCAGTAACCTGAGTCCAGATTGGATAGAACTTCTTACCTCTGATCAGCAGAAGGAATTATGGGATAGCTTTTTCTTGGAAGGGCCAGCTGACCAAGCCTTTCTGGTTCTGCTGGACTCCATTATTTCTATGGGGTAAGCCTGGCTTCAGCCCCATATTTGTTAGCACTAAAAGCATTGTGACAGATCCAGACCAGTTGGGTATAGGAGTCTGGTAGAGGGCAAATATACTGGTCACTGGATGAGTAATTTTCTGTTCCCTGAGTGACGAGAGAAGGGGCTGTACTAGAGTAATCAGGAACCTGCTAGAACCAGTTAAGGCAGGCAGGCTAATTAGTACACCTGGAGCCAATTAAGAAGCTGCTAGAATCAATTAAGGCAGGCTAATCAGGGCACCTGGGTTTTAAAAGGAGCTCACTTGGGTTTGTGGTGTGAGTATGAGGAGCTGGGAGCAAGAAGCTGAGAGTGAAAGGGTGTGCTGCTGGAGGAGTGAGGAGCACAAGCGTTATCAGACACCAGGAGGAAGGTTCTGCGGTGAGAATAAGAAAGGTGTTCAGAGGAGGCTATGGGGAAGTAGCCCAGGGAGTTGTAGCTGTCATGCAGCTGTTACAGGAGGCACTATAGACAGCTGCAGTCCACAGGGCCCTGGCCTGGAACCCGGAGTAGAGGGTGGGCCCAGGTTCCCCCCAAACCTCCCAATTGACCTGGACTGTGGGTTCTTCCAGAGGGGAAGGTCTCTGGACTGTTCCCCAACCCACATGGTGAATCTCTGTGGCAAGAATATCCGCCAATAAGCGCAGGACCCACCAAGATAGAGGCGGAACTTTGCCACAGCATGTAAACATGTGATGGCCCCTTCACATTACAATTCCAACCTAGTCAGATGATCTGGTAAATATGGCTTCAGTTTAGTGCAGAAAAGACCTATTTGTAGCCTTGTCCATGAATAATGCTAACTCCATGGTCATTTCCCATGCTTTAATCTGGGTGTTGAATATGGGTACTGTCCTGCCTATACTACACATTGCAATAGTTGTAATGATGTGAAAGAATGAGTGTGTTGTAATCAAATCCCCAGTCTCAGCTGTGGTTGCATCATAGAGAGGTCTTTTCACATCAAAACATAAAAGGGGAATGTTCAAGATGGTCCTGATGATGATTCCTGGCTTTGGCATCCTGGTCATGATTCAGGGCCCAAGGATAGAAGGCATATAACTACATTGATAGACTGTAATGTGGTTAAAACACAGGGATGGGAGCCAGGAGACCTGACTTCTATTCCCAACTCTGCCATTGACTCACTGTGTTGCCTTGAGAGGGTCACTTCAGCTCTCGGTGCTTCATTTTCCCCTGTTTTGCAAATGGGGAAATGATGCTTCTTCCACACCTCCCATGGGGGTAGTGAGGCTGAATTCATTAACGAATGTAAAGTGCGGTGAAAGTCACAGGCAGAAGGAGCTGTAGGGTTACAGTGTTAATTCACTGTTAATCTTAAATTACATTCTGATGCATTGTGGCACTATGTGTGATTGATGGGATCACAGCAGAAAGTGGTATGATTGTCTAACCGGCTCTTAAAAATCTCCAATGATGGAGTGGCAAACACCTGTCAGGAATGGTCTAGATAATTAGTTCTGCCATGAGTGTAGGGGACTGGAGTAGATGACTTCTCGAGGTCCCTTGAAGTTCTATAATTCTCATTTGTGTGTCCTCTTCCTCATTAATTAAAGGGGGGGCACTCTTATTTCTTTCCAGTCCCAGCTTTCGCCTGATGAAGGTCATTAGCATCCTGGAACAGTTTCTGCAGACAGGACGCATGTCGGCTCTGATGTGGGAGGTCTGTCATCAGCAGGCACAGGCTGGTTTACCCACATTTCAAGAGACCCTCCTCAACAAGGTTGTGTGTCTGCCTGACCACTTGTGCAACAAGCTCCAGGGGAATAACCTACCTATATTCTTCCCACAAAACTATTTCCCTCTGCTGGCTACTGAAATCATCCAGGTGTTGCAGAGGATCTCTGACTCATTAAGAGGTGAGATTGCAGACCAACTACAGCTGCACTGAGAGAATGAAACAATACAAGGGGAGGTCTCCTGATAATCAGCCTCTAGGAAGATGTCAATGGCTGTCAATCTAAATGTTTCATTAAACATGTCTCGTTATACCACAGGTGGCTTGGACTGTTCCATCTCCTTCATGTCTCAAGTGCTGGGGAAGGTATGCGTGCATGGGAGACAAGGTGAGTGCCTTGTAACATGGTTTTGGGCAAAAAGATATGATAGAATTACATCAACAAGGAACTGTGATTGTAATAGGGTGGTCACTAAAAGAGGGAGGTTGAGGGTAGATTCATTTGTGGCCTGGGATGTTGCCTACAGTTTGTAGACATGGCCTTCTCTCCTTTCTGAGGCATCCCAACTGTGTGTCTGTTACCCCCCCTCCCCCCACCTCTCTCTGATCTGAGTGTGTTCCATTCTCCTTCTCCCAAGAGTCAATGAGAACACTAATCTTCCAGGAGCCCTGCTATCCTGGGCATTATACTTCCTTAGTGCCTTCCATCTGAGGTTCTGAAAATGCATTGCAAACACCAATGAGTTAAAAATCACAGCCTCTAGATAACAGGCTGTGCATGTGATGAGCCTTCATTTTGGTTTCATTTAGCATTTTGGAGCAGGTGAAGGCTGCTCCCCATGTGCAGTAGCATGTAACAGATGGGGAAGTTAAGGAAGGAGTTCCAATCTCCTACTTCAACAAGGGGTTCCTGGAAGCTACTGTCAAGCTGTCCTGCAGTGGCTCAAGAGCATGTGGGTACCAGCCTCAGGGCAGACTGTTAAGAAGCAGAGTACAAACCCCAAATTAGTTGTGAGTTCTATACTTAGATTTCACCAGCCAATTATCAAATGTAAACTCCTCAAGCACTATAACAGCCTTAACATGGAGCCACAGATAGTCCTCTTGGGTACTGTGATCTAGCTTGCCACCCCGAAAAGCCTTCCTTTGTGATAGATGGTTCCTTACACCAAAAATCACAACAATATTCAGGTTACTCCCCGTCCCAAAGGACCAGTCACTTATCCCAGGTCAACTTCTCCTTAGGCCTCACACCAAAGGCAACTCTTAATTTATTAGAGGGTTGACTATATCTAAAAATTCCTTTCCTAGAAAAAGGAAAGAGTTATTTACAAGGTTTAAAAGAGGTAAATGTATATACACACAAATGACTTCCAATCTCAAGTGTCAAAGAGTAATAGAAGCTTCTTTAATAAGCAAGATCTATATTTCCTTTTGGGGCTAACCCCGGCCAAGCCCTGGGGATCTTTTGCTTATGCTTAGTAATCCTTGCCCTCAAAGCCCAAGCAGCATAAAAGATCCTCCTTGTTAGGGCTTTTTATTCCTTCCTCCTCGTCTTCTCTCTTTTCCCCCCCCCCCTTCTGCTTCAGGTTGCAAATTCAGCTGTTCATGAGGGGTTGGGCGGGGGCGCAATCAACAAAGTATTTTGTCCTCTGATGTTCCACAATAGTTTGTCTGGTGTTGGGAAGAAGATAACATTTCCTGTGGGGAAACTAGTATTTCACGTTTCTTAATGCTTCTCTTCTGTCTTGTGATTTACAATTGCAGAGGAAACGCTTTTACCTTATAATATGGCATGCAGATATTATAAATGAGATTAATGCATGCAGCAACTTAAAAGCATTTCATAAAGTCTAAACACATTCTTATAATACTAACACACAGGTGAACCAGACTGGTTCCAGCTATGTACTTGTCAGTGTTCAGTGGAGACATATGTGCCTTGATATGAGCTGACACCTGGTCTGCCAGTGTCACAGCTACTAGGGCTACAAGTGAAAGCCCAGGTGAACCTGCAGGTAGGGCATACCTGTGAGAAGAATTGTGTGTTGTAGGTGCTGAATCATTGGGGGCAAACTTGTGTTCATGTTTATCTCTCTATAAGCAGCTTGATTTTGCAAACCATCCACATGCCCCACCTCCCTCCAATCAGTGAGCTTCCTTTTGTTCTCTCCCAATACAGAAGAGATTCTGAATGTGTTGGTGCCACGCCTAATGGATCTCACCAAGGTGGACTGCATCTGGCAGAGGATGTGCTGGCGACTGGTCGAGTGTGTGCCAGATCGTTGGATGGAAGCAGTGGTTTGCGGCTTTGTTCAGAAAGCACCAGGGTAAGAAATCAAGATTTGGGGGAGAGGGAAGTAGTTGTTCTAGCTACACCTTACTCCTGGGGGGATTCTGCAGGACTGCGCGCCTGCAGAAAACAGCCTCCCTGCAGATTTCCTGCTTTTCCCTGCAGAAAACAGCAGGGAAGCAAAGGGAAGCTGGGGGTGGGGGGTGGGGCAGTGATCATGTATGCAGTTTTTTTTGGGGGGGGGGGAGGGGATTGCTGCCCAAACAAAGGTGAGGCATGGGGGTTACGTGCTGGGGCACACAGAGTTATATGCCATTCCCTCACCCCCATTTCTGCAAACGCAGCTCGGTTGCGTCTGGGGCTCCACTGACTCTGCAGCGGAACACAGCCTCCTGGGTCCTAGTGCCAGCTGTGCTCCCCTTCTGTGTGCTGGGAGCCTTCCTATTTTCTGTGGAACAGTGACTGCCCGCAGTGGGGCTGGGTAAGGGGCGTGGGGGGAAGAGGCAGTGGGGAAGGAAGGGGGGTGGAATGGGGAAGGGGATGTGGGAGTGAGGAGAGGGGGATGGAGAAGAAAAGGGGATAGGGGAACCACCGTGGGGAAGCAGGAGCCTGGTATGTGATGTCCCCTCGGCAGCAGCTGAGGATCCCCCGTTAAGCAGGCCCATAGAACCCTCACCCTGACAAGCCCTGCCTCCCTACACCTGGACCCGTCCAACAAGCCCCCCACCCCACTGAGCCCCAACCAGTTGCACCTGGACCCCCACTCCTCCAGCACCCGGACCCCCCCACTGAGTCCCCCCAAGCCCCATTTTGCCACACCCAGACCCTGCCACTGAGCCCAACCACCATCACCTGGCTCCCCTGCAGAGTCCCATTGCCCCTGCACCCCCCAACGAGCCCCTGTGCATCCAGATCTCCCACTGAGCTACCCGCACCCAGATTACCCCACGCAGAAACCTCTCACCACACACCTGGATCTCTCCACACTTAGATCCTGCTGGGCTGAGCCTGCCCAGCCACACCTGGTGCGCCTGGCATAGAGGGGCAGGGCCCGAGGTGTTTCTGGGGCAGGCCCAGCCCTTGCACTGTGTCAGGGTCAGGTGCAGCCTCACTGCTGACTGCCTGTACTGGAGGAGGTGGGGGCTCCAGGGTGATCTCCCACCTCAATGCAGCCAGTGGCCTGTGCTCCCCACTGCCATTCTGGAGCCACATCTAGTTATTGACAAAATTTGCAGAATTTTAAAATATTGTGCACATAACTTTTATTTTTGGTGCAGAATTCCCTCAGGTGTATAAACACCAGTACATTATTTCTTGAAGGATCTCGGCCCGTGCACCATCATTTCACATGTTGCCACTTCCTGGGAAAGGTTGGGACTGGAATAGCTGGGGATTCATTCACTGGTAATCCTTCGACAGCATTTGAAACAGCACTAGATCTTTTTGCTACATTAATCACTTCTGTAGTTGTGTGGTAGCACTGCATGGAAGCTGTTTGATCTATGACTTTTGATTATATTGCAAATGGGTAGCCACTTACAAAATCATGATTTGATTGAAATCAGCCTGAAGCAGTTCAGATAAACGGATCCCTGATAGTTTGCTGCTGACCTATCTTGCTAGGGCGGATGTCTTGTCTCGATTACTGGGGAATCTGGTTGTGAAAAACAAGAAAGCTCAGTTTGTGGTGACCCAGAAACTACTACTCCTGCAATACAGCTATGTGGTAAGGGCTCTGCTGTGTCAATATGGGGAATGTAAGCCTCTAGCTGTTAGGAAGGCTAATGTTTTTCAATGTGCTGAATTCTTGCCCAGGTAAGCTCCAGGTCTCTGGTCGTGGGCTTTATTCTGAAGCCTTTCCCCAGACTCCTCACGTATACTTGGACCTCAGCTGAAGATTGCTATAACTTCTCCCTGTCCAGTAAGGCAGACCAGGTGGTTCCTTTCAAGACACTGACCTACAAGGCAGAATACAAGCCTAATCTGTGGTGACCAGCAGTGTTGTCACCTTTTCTCCTGGGAACCAAGGGAGGATTTGCATGTGACATTGGCAGTCTGGGGAGCTAGAGGCCCTGATCCCATCTAGAATCCAGGGGGAGAGGCTGGGAGCAAGTGTGACCTTCCCCCCCAAGAGGACAGGGAGAAGGAGTGCACTGGAGAAGCTCGGAGTTTGATTTGGAATTATCTGTACCCTCAGAGGTTGGAGAGAAATGATGTGGAAGTGAAACAGGGCAGTGGGTGAGCACTGGAGCCCATGAGGGTGTAGTGTGAAGATCGTCCTCTGCCTTATGTTCTGGAGTATCTTGAGCATTAACTAGATCGTGGGTGGGGGAGAGGCACAAGACTTCAGGGAAGGACAAGGTTCCCTGACTTCACGTTCCTTTTGTTTAATAGTAGGAGCAATATTTTAAATAAGACTTGCTGTGCATGGGTTGGTTCAGTGGGGTTTTTACTAGAAGGAACCCTCTCTTGGGTGCCGTAGACATCACTAAAACTGTGTGATCTGAAATACCCAGGCACAACAACATGCTCTTACTTTCCTAAGAGTGCTGTGGGTTTGCATAAACTCTGCAGTCTTTCCCTGAACATTCTGATCAATTCACCTGGAATGGGAGGGGGTGGAAGGGGAGAGTGTGAGTGTGTAAAGTCCTTGCTGATGAATAACTTTCTGCTCAGTATAACTAATCCTATTGTTTTCATTGTAGACTGCAGTGCTGCAGAACCTCCTTGGATATCTGGCCCTAGACAGCCTTCGACGTTCCTTATTGATCAAAGTAAGTTAGGTACCTTCAGTGATTATTTATTTTATTATATATGTGTGTGTATTGGAATATTTACTCCTGAACCCTCATTTTGTGATGCTTCCGTGGTGTATGATGAAGCTGATAATGAGGATCACCTGTGTGAATGGGGTGATAAAGAATGCCCCCATGGTGGTCCTGGACAGAGCTACATGGCCTTATTCAAAGTGTAGCAGAGAAGTCCTCTTCATAGGAATCACTGCCCTTCTGTCTCATCTCTAGAAAAGTAGTAAGAGGGCCACCAGGGAATGCTGAGAAGGCAGGGGGAATAGAAGAGGAAGGAAATGTGGCTCAAAATGAAGGAAGAGTTGCCGTCCCACTTAAACAGGCCACAGTCCTCCCAGAGCTTCTAATGATACATTGTACTTCTGTAGCATCTCACATCTGTGGATCCCCAAGCCTCACAACTCCCCTGTGAGGTAGGTTAGTTTTATCAATCCCATTTTATAGATTGGAGGGGGCAGGGGAGGGAGAGAAGTGATTTGAAGTGACTTATCCAAAGAGAGCGAGTCCATGACAGTTGGAAATAGAACCCAGGAGTCCTCCGACCCAGCCCTAGGCTCTAACTGTAAGATCATCCTCCTATTTTCTAGGGCACAACAGCAGAGGGGTCCAATTGGGAAGCCACCAAATGAAAGGCTAAAAATAATTTTCTTAGTGTTTCTAATAAGCCCTTCGTATACTAAACTCCTCTTAGCTCTTCTTAGTTCATGTATTAACAGGAGTATTGTAAGCAAGACATGAGAAGTAATTCTTCTGCTCTACTTCGCGCTGATTAGGCCTCAGCTGGAGTATTGTGTCCAGTTCTGGGCGCCACATTTCAGGAAAGATGTGTACAAACTGGAGAAAGTCCAGAGAAGATCAACAAAAATGATTAAAGGTCTAGAAAACATGACCTATGAGGGAAGATTGAAAAAACTGGGTTTGTTTATTCTGGAGAAGACTGAGAAGGGGACATAAGTTTTCAAGTACATACAAGGTTGTTACAAGGAGGAGGGAGAAAATTGTTCTTAACCTTTTGAGGATAGGACAAGAAGCAATGGGCTTAAATTGCAGCAAGGGTGGTTTAGCTTGGACATTAGGAAAAACTTCCTAACTGTCAGAGTGGTTAAGCACTGGAATAAATTGCCTAGGGAGGCTGTGGAATCTCCATCATGGGGAATTTTTAAGAGCAGGTTGGACAAACACCTGTCAGGGATGGTCTAGATTAGGGGTCTCAAACACGCACTCCACAGGCCACATTTCCTGCGGCCTGCCATAGGCACAGTGTCACCACTCCTCCACCTACCTCCGCGCTCAGGGGAGGAGGCAGAGAAGAGGTGGGGCCGGGGTGGGGATTTGGGAAAGGGCTTGGAATGGGGGCAGGGAAGGGGTGGGAAGAGGCAGGACAGGGGTGCTAGATACCTCTTTTGGCTATGGTAACACCCCTCTTTTCATTAGGTGCCAGCAATGTGCTTAGTAAGACCTCAAACAGCTTACAGTCTAGCAGAGAGAAACAGGAGTCAGGATGCACAGGAAGACCCAGAGGGGGGATTAACTTGGAGTGGTCTGGGAGAGCGGGTTGTTTGTTTGGGCATCTGTGGTGTGATTTGAATCATACCTGTCATTCCCCTTGGCTTCAGGGCTTTGTTGCAATGCACGTGCATTGCGAGCCTGTTCTGAAAGATGCTAAGCACCCTGAGATCCCACTGGTCTCAGTGGGAGGAGAAGGCACCTCAGCTCCACACAAAGGAAGTTTTAACAGAGAGATGACCCAAGGGGTGATTCAAAACCTGTGTTCCAGCCCCTTGCTGTTCTGGGCTGTGACCTGAGGCTGAAAGGTGCTGCCAGCTGCCTTCTGTGAGGTTCAGTGCATACTCACGACCAATGGCTCTTAGCCCATCGGTCCCCATGACTTTTGTATCGTATGAAAAGGTTTCAGTGATGTGGCCCTCGGGCCAATGTACTAGTCCTCATGTGGCCCTTGTGGTGGTTTGAGTTTGAGATCCCTGGTCTAGATAATTCTCAGTCCTGCCTTGAGTGCAGGGGACTGGACTAGATGACCTCTTGAGGTCCCTTCCAGTTCTATGATTTAAGTGGTTTTTAAAATGTTTTCCTTCAGACAGTGGCAAATCATTAAAACAATTTGAGCTAACACAGGCAGTGAGCTATGATTCAGTGGTGAAGGAGTACCCCTTACTGCTTTAAAACATTCTTGATCACCACATGAAGCACTGGTGAATGGCTCCAAAGGGAGCTATGTGTGGTTACTCTCATCCAGAGAGTTTCTGCTGTGATGTGGGGGAACTGGTTTTCCCCTTTTGTAACTACTGTTATCTCTTAGATTGTTTTGTTCCACTTCCTTCTTTTCACTGAGTTACATAACTGATTTTTTTTTCCGTCCGTTAATATATAGCAATATCCATGACAGCCTGGCCTCTATTGGGCTGTGACTGAAATGTTTAGAGGTTGGGCATCAGAAATCCATCCTGTGTGTTTGATGGAGAAGGTGGGTAGCAGAGAGGCTGCTGGTTACTAGTTTAGGGAGCGAGGTGTTAAAGTTCCTTTCCCTACCAAAAAATTTGTTGCCTCTGCCCTGCACACAAAGGGGTGGGAACGCTTCGCCTCCATACCGCTCAAGTGTCTCAGCACACTGGGAGGTTTTTTCAGGGGTAAGCATAAAATAAATAGAATGTAATGTAAAAATCAATAACCCCAGGCTTTCTGCACTGACTGCATTAGTCATTGTCTTATTGAATTTAAAACCTCCATTATTTAATTTACCCAGAGCTGACATGGAATTTCCAGCCAGTGGCACCAGTATGTCATGGAATTCAGGACCCTTGCCACAGAAATTCTCTCAGTGGAGAGCTGGAGCCCTGCACCCAGGCAAGAGGCCACCACACTTTACAGGCTCTGATTATGCTGAGTGAAGGGTAGAGTAGTCCTTAGGCCACCTGGTTGGTTGAGGGTGTGGTGTGTTTGTGTGAGAGAGTGACTTTCAGATGCAGCACAGACCCACTCCATCTAGCTAATGCTGTAAACTTATGAACCAGGTGCTGAAAGAACTCCTGGAGACCTGGGGCAGCAGCAGTGCTGTGAAACACTGTCCAGTTGAGCAACAACTGTATGTTAGCAAGGCCATCCTGATTTGCCTCTCCCACCTGAAGGAGCCTGAAATAGAGAGCAACAGACAAGGTGAGGGAGGAGGGAAGGAGCCGAGAGAACAAAGAGGTCTCCTTTCCTCCACTGGATTCTAACTTTTCCCCTCTTTAGCCCTCTGTCCTTGATGCCCCTAATCATAACCATTGGGTCCACATCCTGCAGGTCTGATCCTACAAACATACCCAAGCTCTGATCATTTGAGTAGTCCCACTGAATTCAGCGAGGCTATTCATGTGAGTGACGCTGCTTATGTGTGTAAGTATCTAGAGGATCAGGGCCTTACCAATTTCTTCTCTGTGCATTTTTCACTTTGGACCTTATCTTAAACTCCCAGTATCTGAAAGCCACAAATTCTGAAATCTGGAAAATCATGAGGTGACCTATTCCTGCTGAGTATTTATAGTGCAAGATGATTTTGAAACAAAGTTTAGGATTTGGACTCTGTGGAGGCTAAGGAAGGCTGCCTTGCTGAAAACATGAGAATTTAACACCAGTATGAAAGTTCAGTGTCAGAGATGCTGACTAGCAATAGGAACATCTGTAGCACCTTCTTTTGAAGACCTCATAGCATATTGAATCATTGATTGGTTAATCTTCAGAACATTTCTGTGATGCGGTAGGGCACATAGATTTTGAGAAGGAGCAGTTGGGCACGTCAAATCCTCCCTGTCTCTCAAGGTCCTGGAGAGAGGATCTGCGGCAGAATAGGAAATGGAACTCAGGTCTTTGGACTCCCACTCTTAGCCAGGACTGTCATCCTTCTCCTAAACCATAATCTAGTCTGGTTTAATTCAGATATGGGTTATGGGGTTGTGGAAATATAGAACACTATCATGGCATAATATCATAGCAAGGCAAAAGAGAGATGTTCTGTTTTAGAGTGGGAAACCTTGATTGTGTGATTCTACTTGTATGACAACTCATGTTCTGTTAAATCCTGTGACTAATGTAGATTAACTCATTCAGCCCGTTGTATGTGTGGAAGAGAGCTCTTCAATGTGCTGCTCTTCAGCATGCTATGTTCTGTCTGGCTTAGGATAAGGAGTGCTTCTTAGTGGTTAGAGCAGACACTGGAAGTTCAGAACCAGGAGCTGAAAGAACTTCTGGGGACCTGTTGGAGCAGTAGTGCTGTCAAACACTCCTGGGTTCTGTTCCCAGTCCTTACACTTACTATGTGACTTTGGATAAGTCCTCTCTGATCCCTCTTTGTAAATTACATTAATATTTAAGTAACAAAATTACATAGACAGTTACTGACAACAGTCAGGCTGCTGGTGTGCTGAGACCACTGCCTATCATGCTGACTAGCCTCTCTCATTGTTTGCTTGTGCTCCCCAGCTGTCTGTCTGTATCAACCTGTTATCTCTTGTCTGATCGCAGGGACCATTTTTTCACTCTGTGTCTGAACAGCGCCCAGCACAATGGGGGTCTGGATTCAGGACTAGGGCTTCTGGTGCAACCACAATACAAATAATAGATTCACCTACACCCAGGGGGCTCTTGAGAGGGTGAATTAGCTTTCATGCAGTGCTTTGAAAACATAAGTGCTATTTATTAGAAAACAAGTTTATTTCATCCTAGCCAACTCAAGATTCTTCTGTTAAAGCCTGGCCTTGTATAGATACAAACTATTGTGTGTTAATGAATGATCAGATTTCTCACTGGCTGACTAGAGAGATGTAAGCTTTTATTGGTGAATAACGATCAACCTGTCAGCAGTCAGAATCTATTTGGGGAGATGAAAGACAGTTGCCACTCTGAACAATGGGTTCAGAAATGCCACTGGTAATTAATTACCTGTCACAGCTCAGGCACATGGTGAGAAGTATTCCTCCCTGTGTGAGTTCCAGGTTGTTGCACTGATCAAAATGGATGCAATTTCCATCATAACAGAGTCAGCTGCTATGACAGATGAATAACATTTCATCTGTCATAGCAGTTTTGAAGCCACTGGATTTATGCCAGAGATTAATTTGGCCTAACACACTTTTTTGGTATTTTGGTAAACTCTTTTATTAAAACAAAGGTTCTAGGATGTGTGATGTTTGTACCATTGTGTTTGGCTTCAAAACCTAGCCCTGCTGCATAGCTTCTTGACATGATGGAGAAAGAAAACAGCTCTGCAGAAAGAGAATTGCTGTATAGAATCTGTCAGCCTCCACCCCAGGGCCTTTGTCTGTCTTTCTGCCTGTAGTGGGAGTTGTGTAGCTAAAGATTTGGGTTCTCAGCTAGGTGTGCTATCTGGGAGCTGCCATAGTCAGGGATGCTGTGCTCACTCTGCCATGTGCTGCTTGTCCTTTCAGAACTTCTCACCAGCATGATGGGAGGGATGAAATGCCGCCTGGACAGCAACTTGCCACGGGTTCGGCGTCTGGGAATGATAGTGGCAGAAAGCATCAGTTCCAGAATAACTACAGATGGGCCCAGCCTGAAATTCCAGGTGAGAATACAGTGATGCCTGACTCTGCTGTGCAGGGATGGGGAGAAATGTCCCCTTTAAAGCAGATGGTTGTGTTGCTGCTGTCATTGCTGACCCCTACTCTCTGGAAGGGAAGAAGGGCACCAGTACCCTTCAGAATGAGGGGATATCAGTTTGCAAAATGGAATTGCATTGAAAAGATGCAAAGGCAGCATAGAGGATGTGGGCCGGGGCAAGGTGAGGGGTGCATGGGGGTGTGGTGAGAGAGAGAGAGCATATGTCTCAGGAGGACTTGGTCACAGCCAGGCAGAGTCAAGAACTCTGACATGACAACAGGGTTTAGGATGGCCAGCTCCAAAATTAAAACTGCTAGATTTCCATATCATGCAGCACCTGATCAATGGGAGGTGTCCCATTGAAATCCCCTTCAGCGGGAGTTGATTAGAGTCCTGAAACTGGGGTGAACATCCAGAAGGAGGGTGTATAAAGTCACTGGTGGTTGTGATTTTTCAAGACTGAGTAGGGGATTTAGCTGCACAATCCCCATTCGTTTCAATGGGAATTAAACCCCACAGCTCCATACTTGCCTTTGAGAATCTTAAGTATTGTTTGCACAGCATCAGCTGTAGTGCTGCATTGTGACTTCAGACCTGTTAAATGCTTTAAAGATTATAAATAACACTGAGACCAAATCTGACCAAGCAATAACTTGTATATCCTGAGCCCAGTGTGAAAGGTGCATATGGCTGAGATTGCAAATCTCCACATGCATTTATCATTTGATCCTTCGCTATTTAAAAACTAAGGCCCAATTCTGAGAGGTGCTGAGCTCTCATAACCTTCAACTGCAGATTTATTGTATTTAACTGATGTAAAAGCCTCCTCAGCATACAGTAACTTCTATTTTGCATGTCTAGTATGAAGATGATGATGAGACCAGAGAGCTAAAGTCTCTCCAGCAAACAGCACCACTACAGCTCCATGTCACTGACCTGCCAAATGCTGGGTGAGATTGCCACTCATAGCTGTATATATGCCTAGTGTAAAAACATAGTGAGCACAGATACCAGGCAAATCATTCTTAGTATAGGTTATAAAGACAAGGCCTATCTCTGACTATAATCCTTCCACGTTGGTGGATGGTAAACTCCAGACAGACAATCCCAGCTCTGAAGGCAGGAAGTCTGTATTTGTTAGAATCCACTAAGGTGTAAATTGCTGTAATATTCACTGTGCTCTGCATTATAATTGGCTGTCTCTGCAGCAAGCATGTTTCTAGTTCAAAGGTCAAATGGAAGCATGTTTTAGAATTGTGTGTCTGACTGCATTTCCTTAGGATTCTTGTAACTCTGCGTGCCCCTGAAGCGATCCAAATGGGCTGGGGAATCTTTAGGTATCTCAGGGTAGACTGGGAGCTGTGTCCACAGCCTATCCATTACTAACTGAAATACAGTATTAACTTCTGCCCAAAAGCATTAACTTTTGGCTATAGTCTGACCTTCCATGGGATTTGCTGTCTGAAGATCTCAAAGCACTTTACAGAGGTTAGTGAGTGAAGCCTCCCAATGCTACTATGAGGTAGAAATAGTGACTGAGATGTGGAGAGGTGAAAGTGATGTGCCCAAGGCTACATGGCAAATTGCTGTCGGAGCTGTGTGAAGAGCTCAGATCTCCTGACTCTGTCTTGTACATTAACCACTACTGAATGGTGCCTCCTGATTTGTTCATGGTTTTCATAGCTCTTAAGAATACATAGGCCAACACTTCCTCTGCACTGAGATGACTGTGTGTCTGCTCTTACCCAGAGTGTTTTGGGTTTTCTCCATTAGCACAGTCTTAATCTTTGTTAGGAACTAAAACAAGCTCAGGTGGCAGTCCAGGGAACTAGCTCATGCTGTCTGCCATCTCCACTCTTTCCCCATCATGAGGTCTCCCCACACCTGTACAGCTACTCTAGCTTTTTCTCCTCATAGCTGGACCATTCAAGGTGAACCCACACTGAAATGAGATTCCAGTGCCTACTGTAGATAGAGGGTGTGGGTGTGTGGATTGGGGGTTTTACCTTGGAAAAATCTAGTCTCCTGCTTGTGATCATGGATTTCTAAGATCCTTGTTACTTTATGCCTTTGACACTCATTGCCAACAGCAGGAATAACAGTCCATCTGCTACACCAAAAGCTGTGTCAAAACCAAGTGGGAACCCACACCCAGCAACCCCTGCAGTGCCAGAGGAGGGATCTGACTTGGAGCTTGACAGGTACATGCAAGAACTAAACTACTAAGCAAAAAGCTGATTTGAAATTAAAAAGTAAATGACAGATCCTTGAAAGCTGACTGTGTGAGAGGCTGTACTGCTCCATCTGAACTGGGGAGCAAACCAGGCTGTGTGTAAAGGGTAATTGCAGATATAAGGGCTAGGGAGAGGGGGCAGGGAGGGAGCAGAGATGAGCAAGTGGGGGAGCGAGGTCTTGCAGAGAAGAGACAGTTTGAGGGCAGGGACTGAATTCAGGAGACCGCATGTGTTGATCCTGGCAGATGCAGATCCACATCCACATTTTTGTATCCGAGCAGGGCTCCTGCATGCCATTGGTTTTGTTACCATAAAAACATTCTTTATTAAGCTGGACGTTTGGAGGCTCTTAATCTATAACATGGGCTTGGTGCCTTTTAGGTATTTCAGGCAATTACTTGAGGGGGGATTAAATACAGAGTAATTTAATGGATAAAAATGACTGTGCAGAGGACCATTATTATTTCAGACCAATTTTTTTTGTCCCATGACATTAGCATGCTCACATCCAGGCTAATGGGATGAGATTGCATTCACAGCCACAAAATATAGCCTATTGGATAAAGAAATCTGGTTTTAAGTCTGGATTCAGTTTTGAACCACTTTTTTTTTCCCCCCAGAGTGGTAGGCGTGTTAGTCTGTATCAGCAAAAACAATTAGGAGTCCTTGTGGCACTTTAGAGACTAACAAATTTATTTGGGCATAAGCTCTCGTGGGCTAAAACCCACCAGTATCCACATGTACAGACTCCTCTGCACAGTCTGCTGGAAAGAGACAGACTCTACTCTATTACTTCCAAGGAGCTTGAAGTTAACTGTTTCAGGCACTAGCCAGCAGTCTATAGCAAGGGGAAATCCATCCACCCAGTATGACAATTCTGGATGGGGGCTGGGTAGTGAAGGCCTGCAGTAGCTAAATTAAGTAGCCAGCTGGGCTACCAGGATTTAAAAAAAAGACCTCATTCACCTTTGATAAAACATTCCCTCCTCTGACGTAGGCAGCAACTAATTTCAGTGCCCATTTAAGACTAAAGTTATCTCCGATCCATGCAGCGCCACATAAAAGGCACATTTTCAAGTTACAGACACTACTGTGTAATTCCCCAACAACTGTCTAGCCCAGCTGTGCAATTCCCAAAGTCTTTCCAAACCACAATCCTGGACACACTTTTCTCTATCTTTCTGGGTGACTGGGCAACAAAATGGCAGATAAAACTTAATTTTGATAAATGCAAAGTAATGTACATTGGAAAGCATATATGTGCTGGAGCTGGTTGCTCCAATCCCCATGGCTGGGGGAGGGTCCTGGTGCACAGGAGCCGGTGGGCTGGGAGCGCGGTCAGTGCTGCCAGGCCATGGTGGGGGGATGCTGGCCCTGTCCATGGGGCCTGAGCCATTGGATGGGAAGCGACATGGCAAACAGGTGCGGGTCAACCCCAACTCTGGCCCGCTGTCCAGCAACAGGCTGCCCGAGCTGGACGCCGCAGGCCAGGCTCCGCCAGAGACAGAGGTAGGGCTTCTTCCTGACCAGTTTCTCCCTTGTTACAGTAATGTAGTTTCCGCTTTCCATTGGCTGCTGAGCTCCACCAGTTAATGTGTTTAGGGAAGTGCAGGAAAGGGTTTACCTATTTTACATGCCTCCCTGTTCATCAGCAGATCAGTTAAGGAGTAGCAGATCTTTAGAGCCCTGTGTGGTTGTATCCACATCCACTCCACTATCCACAGTAATGGTCCATGGATATTCACAGATTTGCAGAGCTCTACCCATCTCACCGTCCTGAACGCTTGATAACCAATGCTTCCTTTGCCTGCTGGATCCTTGTAGGTTGGGGTACCGAGCAACCTCTGTTTGGTGTAAGGATGGAAAGGTGAGAAGGGAGGAGAATGTGCCCTGTCTTCCTGTTTAGCATGAAGGAGGAGAAGGTGACCTGGTCGAATCCACGTGGACTAATTCATGCCTATGCTTCTTTCACAGCGATGATGATCTCGTCCCTTACGACATGTCAGAGGATAAAGAGCTGAAGAAGATGAAAGCTCCTGTCTATATCCGAGACTGTATTGAAGGTAGGAGATTCTGGGTAGAGTCTATTAAATCTTCACTTGGAAATGCTCATCTCTTACTCTGTTCTGGGGTGGTTCCTGGTACAGGCTAGTTTTTGTGAGTTGACTCAAAGTTGTGGTACTTCGGAAATTGGTGTTCCAGTTTTGAATTGTTAGTTCCTAATGGCCTGTCTACACTACAAACTTTTGCTGATGCACTTTGTCGGCATAAAGCCACCACACTGGTGCACGTGCATACTTGGCTCCTTGCATCCACACTGGGCATACTCACCTGGGGTGTTTGTTTCAATGTGCAGTGCACCATGGGAAGGTATGCCACGGTCCAGTGCTCTGTCTTTTGGGAAGTTTTGGCAGTGCACAGTAGGGTAGAAAAAAATTGCGCAAGGGTGACTGCTACTGCAGGATCAAGTTCCCATCATGCAACTTTCTCCACCCCCTAATGCTATCATTTTCATGCCTATTTTGAAAACTCAAAGAACCTGCCTGGGGCCTGTTGCTGTCCACCATCTCTGACCAAAGCATGTAGCATGCATTATTGTCATGAGCATTGCAAGCACAGTATGCATGATACTTGGGTATTTGCAGTCACAAGAAGAGCTCCGAGGAACATGACGATTTGCTGAAGAGCAGATTGCTGTGGGACATAGTGAGAACCATATTCAAGGTTGTTGGTGGCATTCACGGAGCAGGTGCAAATGGTGGAGTGCCATTTCTGGGTCTAAGATACGAGCACTGACTGGCAGGATCACATCGTAATGCAGGCTTGGGATGACAAGCAGTGGCTGCAGAACTTTCAGATGTGCAAGGCCACATTCCTCGATCTGTGTTCCAAGCTTGCCACAGCCATCCAATGGAGCAACACCAGAATGAGAGCTGCACTGACAGTGGAGAAGTGAATGGTGATTGCACTTTGGAAACTGTGGTCATTGGGAAATCCATTTTGCAGTTGGAAAATCCACTGTGGTGGCCGTTGTCATGCACATATGCATGACCATTAATCTTCTTCTGCTATGCAGGACTGTTAAACTTAGCAATGTGCAGGATATAATAGTTGGATTTCCAGCAGTGGGGTTCCCGAACTGCGGTGGAGCGATAGATGATGCACATGCATCCCTATTTTGGCACCAAACCACCTTGCCACAGAGTAAATCAACAGAAAGGGCTGTTTTTCTAGGGTTATGCATGTGCTGGTGGGTCACCAGAAACACTTCACCGACATCAGCGTTGGCTGGCCAGGTAAGGTTCATGACGCACGCATCTTTAAGAACACAGGACTGTTTGGAAAGCTACAAGCAGGCACTTTCTTTCCTGACTGGCGGATTACCACTGGCGATCGTGAAATGCCGGTGATCCTGGGCTCCCCAAGGATCACTCCCTTGGCTCATGAAGCCATACACCAGCCACTTTAACCGCACCAAAGAAAGAGGGAACTCATGGCACAGCAGGTGCAGCATGGCAGTTGGGTGTGCTTTTGGAAGATTGAAGGGGTGCTGGCAGAAGAATGGATTTCAGCGAGGAAAAATATCCCAATCGATGTAGCTGCCTGCTGTGTCCTGCATAAAATCTGTGAAGCAAAGGGGGAATACACTGGAACCCCGCTATAACGCGCCCCGCTATAACACGAATTCGTTTATAATGTGGGGCGAGTCTGGCCCCGGCGGCTGCAGCAGGTGCGGGGCAAGTCTGGCGGGCGTGGGGCTTTTGGGATCCATGCCCCAGCAGTTGCAGCAGGAGCAACTCTCCCTGCAGCCCTGCCGCGCCCCTGGGGTTCTTACCTCTGTCCCTGGCAGGGCCGGCTCCAGCCTGCGTCCTTTCCTCCCCGCTGACCGATGTAGGGGGCGGCAGCGCGGAGGAGGGGAGCACCCTGCTGGGAGTGGGCTGCAGAGTGGGGCGGAGCCCTCCCGGCAGTCAGCGCGGCAGGCTGGCGGCGGTTGTCTTTTGGGGCCCCCACTCCCCTGGCCAGAGCGCCGTCCGGAGCGCGGCCAGCCCCGCGGCCTCTGTCTCCCCCAGCCGGCAATCCCAAGTGCCGTACCAGGAATCAGGGCCCTGGCGGCAGGAGGGGCCGAGTGGCGAGCGCCCTGGCTGAAGGAAGCCCTGGCTGCCCCCCTTTCTTTTTCTCTCTCTCTCTCCTTCCCCCCCCCCGCTCCCTCCCTCCCTCCCCTTAGCCAGGGTATGGAAGCTGAACACAAGTACAGTGGAACCCCGCTATAACGTGACCCCGCATTTACCGCGATTGAATCTTTTGGACCCCAATGATCGCGTTATAGCGGGGTTCCACTGCAGTTGTTGCCAGGGTGGAGGTGGAGCATCTGTCTCCTGAGTTTGAACAGCCAGACACAGTCTAGGAGAAAAGCTCAGTGCAGAGCTATATGGCTCATGAAAGCTTTGCAAGAGCACTCTAACAGCAAGCCACAGTAATGCGTTCTGGTGTCCTATGCTTTACCTGGCCCTGCTGCTTGGTGTACATCTGTGTACATAACACTGACAATGAACCTATTAATGTTGTGGTGCTTTCTGTGCATTTATGATTATGCTGTGCCACTGATCCTGAGTCTTTTGTGCATTGTGACATGATAACTTCCAAGTGGTGCTTTTTACTACTGCCAGGCATTATGTAGCATAGGTTGGGAACTAATAAAGATGGATTATTTTCCAAACAATAGTTTTTTATTGAGTAATGAAAACACTTCAAAAACAATTCTGTGCAAGTTAAAAACAAATACATTAAAACCTTAATTTATGAAACAAAGCCTAAAGAAGGGGAAGGAACATTGATGTCTATTTTAGCTACATGTATGTCAACCTTGGCACACTCAGGTCAGTGTACATGAGGCTCTGGTTGTCCTTAAAGTCCTCTGGTGGGGAGAGGTCGGGATAGGGATGTGGCCCCTGCTGCCATGTGGAATGTTGAGGGGGCCTGTAGGGAGGTGCTATACTGGAGTCCTCTATGGACTGCAAAGGGAGTCCAGCCCGGGATTGTTGAACCTGTAGATCTTCAAGAGTCTGCAGCACCTGTGTATTGCAACTAGAGAAACCCCATTATGTCCTGATGCATCTCCCTCTCCTGGGCCTTTCTCCTGTCTGCTCTTTCCTTTTCCATACAGTCTGCAATATTCATTCTCCAGGCCCTGTGCTCACTGTCCAATGCAGCAGTGGCTTGGAGGATCTCACTGAACATATGATCCCAAGTCCTCTTCTTTCTCCTCCTTTTCTGGCTCAGGCGTTCCACAGGTTTGGAGGGGGAACTCCTCAAGGTTGCAATGGCAGTAGCTACAGATAAAACACAGAGAGGTACCATTGTCCCTATAGTCACAATAGAAAGTGAAAGTTAAGCTTCAGAATTCCCTTCCATTGCTCCCCTAGAGTTTTAAACAAGACTTGCTGATTGACACTTCTGCTTGGGAGTGCTTGTGCACAGCGCCACTCTCAGCACCAGCCAGGGTGAGTGGGGCATGCCAGGGTGAAAGAAACGAGGAGGGAATTGCTCAGGTGTGTGAAACTGAGTCTAGGGCAGTGGCACTGAATACGGGTGTGACGGGTTGTCACCCCTGAGGTGCAGTCTGGAAGCTGTGGGAATTGCATCTCTTTAAGACACACACACACACACACACACACACACACACACACACAACGTAGGCGGGACACAGCTACGCCTCCACCCGACGGCCC